GAAATATGTAATAGACCACTATGCAAGAACACAAAGAAAGAAACAATGAGATAGATTAGGAACCTGATCCTTTCATGTCAGGCTGATAGTCATATTTACAAATTATAGCTGAATTCGAAACTATTATAGACGCGAATAATTCTTTTTTAAATTAACCCATTTCTACTGCCTTTACTGCAATCATAGCGGATTCGAAAAAGGTCTTGAAGAACATCCCGAAAGATGCCATTTCTAAATGTTTTAAATCATGGGAGAAGAGATGGAAATTATGTATAGATGCGGGAGGGGACTATTTTGAATAAAAAAATTTTAATCATTCTCTATTTTTTCTTTATTTTTGACCAGTCTCATTATTTATTGGACACACCTTGTATATATACAGTGCGGCAAATAATTTTTAAGACTCGCGCTAGAAAAGGCCAATAGCAGAGCCAGTTATGAAATTGCGCATGCGTATATATATTCGAAGCCTTATCTAGCGCGTGGCTTTGTTTCAGCCATTTTGGTTAACTCTTTAAAAACATACAGGCGATTTTTGAAAAGTAAAAATTTTTGTTCGTCGGAATTCTGAGATGGAACAGAGAGCGGTCATTAAATTGAATGCAAAACTTGGTAGAAGTGCATCGGAAACATATATTTTGATGAAGCAAGTTTATGGTACGTTATGTTTGAGTAAATCAAATGTTTTCATTTGGCACAAACGTTTTTCGGATGGAAGAAATACGCTAGAAGATGATAAGCATACTGGACGACCAAGTTCTTCAAAGACACCAGAAAGTATAGAAAAAGTGCGAGAATTTGTTGAAAACAATGATGGCAGAGGTTTTACACATCAACAAAGAAACGATTCGAACCATTCTGCATGAAGATTTAGGTAAAACTAAAGTCTGTACTAAATTTGTTCCACACACTTTAACGGGCGAGCAGAAATCAGTGTGAATTGCACATTGCAGGGACATCATTTCTGCCTATGAAAATAATTCAAACTTCCTGAAATCAATTGTTACGGGTGATGAAACATGGTGTTTTCAGTATGACCCAAAGACAAAGCGCCAAAGTGCCGAATAGAAGTCAAAATATTCTCCACAAGCCAAAAAAACGCGAAAAGTGCCATCAAAAATCAAAACAATGCTGATTACCTTTTTCGATAGTAGAGGTATTATCCACAAAGAATTTGTTCCCGCTGGACAAACCATTACTGGAGAGTATTATTTAAACGTTTTGAAACGTTTGATTGCTAGAAATTGTCGCATTCGTGCAGAATATCGCGATGAAGACAGTTGGTGTTTGCTGCATGATAATGCACCGAGTCACTCATCACTCACTGTTCGTCGCTTTTTGGCCAAAAATAACGTCTGTGTGTTGAATTATCCTCCGTACTCGCCTGATTTAGCACAATGTGACTTTTATTTATTCCCAAAAATAAAATTGAAATTAAAAGGTTGCTTTTTTTATGATATCCCGACCATCCAGACAGCTGCGACGAGCACTTTGGAGGCAATTCCTCAAAGTGGCCTGCAAGAGGCATTTAATTCCTTATTAAATCGTTGTAACATATGTATTGAATCCGGAGGGGATTATTTTGAATAAAAAATAGTAGAAATTGAATTAGCTTGTTTCTTTTTTATTTTACAAACCCATTCTTAAAAATTATTTGCCACACTGTATATATTAAACTGGCGAAACCGTTGGGAGAGTTCACCACTGATGAGCCAGGCCCTTCCATTAATTTTTCAATTGCAGTAAGGGTAGTATAAATTGTTTTATTTTTTTAAAGAAGCATACGTGTCTATAATAGTTTCGAATTTTAATAACAGATGGCGATCTAATGCATCGTAATATAATTATTTTATGATTACCCGCTCTGTTTACAATACAACAATGGATCCGTCTACAGTTGTACAGGAAGACAATATTATTATAATGAAAATTTTTTCTCACTTAATCCTTTTGCTGCCGGATGGTCTAGCAAGTGTTATAGAAAGTCCCACTACCAGAGGTACCAACATCTATATCTCCTATACCATCAAGTATAGTTGCCATGACAATTGAAGCAAGCTGGGATAGAGTAAAAGCTCAAAATTACCTGCATCATAAACTATAGCTACATCAGTCAATTATGTATTTAACTCCCGACGTTTCAGTGCTCTCTGTCAGTATCCTCAGTGGAATGTGGATGACAGAGCGTCACTCAAACGTCGGGAAATAAATAAATTATTGACTTATTGACTGATGTAGCTATATATTTTTTTCAAACCAACTTCCAACCAACAAATGATCTTCAAAAAATATTCACAAAAGTGATTAAAACTCTGACAATTCTCTCTGCTATTTACAAATCCATACAGATCTTCAACATTAGTAGCTGTCTGTTGTCTAACGGCGTTATAGAAAAGTAACATTAAATATAACAAACACAAATGTTTAAATTAAATTTTGTTTAAAAACGTTATTTACAGTTAATGCACAAATATGTAAGACTAAAAGAAAAAAACTACAAAAAAAAATGTAATATAAAGTTGTGGGGAGAAGATATTCATGTACCATAGTTGCACCTCTCCCTTTAAAATGGATCAAAACAATGAATTTTGTTTATCACCCCAGTACAAGACGTTATAAGAAATTTGAACTATTTTTGACGCGTTTGATTATTTTTAAAATAAATCAATTTTCTATATTGTCCTTACTGCAATGATAAAATTATGGGAGGGTTCATCACTGATGAGCCAGGCCCTCCCATTATTTTATTGTAGATTAAACTGACAAAACCGCTGGGAGGGTTCACCACTGATTAGCCAGGTCCTCCCATTATTTTATTGTAGATTAAACTGACAAAACCGCTGGGAGGGTTCATCACTGATGAGCCAGGCCCTCCCATT